AAGTTTTGATCAGTTCTATTTCTTTCTTTGCTAGCAGATTTTGCTTGCTTTAATTTTATGGTTGTTTTCTTCTGTGACACAATTTTCTTCTTCAACTGTCTTATTGTTTCATGCTCTATCTCCTCAGGTCTAGTGGGCTGGGTAGCCTAATAGAAATAGAATATTTGTACGTGATACAACACTGTGGGCTACTTACATTCTTGGCAAATACATAAAAGTATGCAATAAATAAACCACAAACGCTACAGAAAAGTATCTTTCAAGGCACAAATTAATGTTTGTGGGTAGTTGGCGGGTGCTCTGGTGTGGTTTGCTTCTTTTTTCCTATCAAACATCTATCATCCTTATCTCCCCTTCTTCTTTTTTATGTTGTAACACCTCTAATCTTTTGGCGCTCATATGACCCCATGCAGTTGCGAGCACCGTAAAATCTCTACTAAAACTAAACTAAAATTAATGTTCTTTGTCAGATATAATATGATCGTTTGATCAACATATTATTTTTATTATTGCCAGCATACACATTCATCACATTCAGTCACCCAGCATAAATTAGGTTTAAATGGTAGATTAAGATAAAGGGGATTTGTTGAGGGTTTTTTTTCCATATGTTTGTCTTTAATTGATATGTATTAATATTATTATCATTAGGCTATTGGTTTTAAAAAAATTGTTTTTCATGTTTAATTTCTTACTAATAATTGATAAATTACATAATAAAGGAAAAGATATTCCAGATTTTAACATAGTACTGATTTAACAGCTTGCCTCCTTTAGTTCTTACAGTAACATTCTTTCTATCACATTCTGATTTGCCAAATGAAATTTTGATTTTGAGTAATTTTGCAAAGCTTTGCCCAAAAGAGTAATCAATTTGGGATACATTTCCGTAAAAATAGCTCAGCAGGATACATTTTTAGTGGATCTGAGGCTTGTTTATAAGATGGCTACCGCCTGCATTTGAAATCAACCTCTCAAGATTCCTTCAACAAAGTCTTCAAATAGGTTCTGGGTTTATCTCTGATTTCCAACGCCAAACTCCGAGTTTGAGGAGAGATATTCCTGTTCTGAAGCTCTTCGTCATTTGGTTAAATGCCCTAGTCACACCTGGGTGCCAAAATCACCCCAGTTTACGGGACGGCATCTAAACTTAAAGACAGTTTAGTTATGGTATAGCTAAAACGTTTGTGATCAACAACAGAGAACAAATTCGTCAAATTGTACATTAGAAATATTCTATTTGGGTTTCTTCAAAGTGCGGACATTCTATTAGTATGTGCCTGGAGCTAAATTCTATACATGTATAGCATCCGACACAAAAGGGATTCTCATCTTCATACAGGGCGCATTTTATGCGTGGGGGAGGCATGTCCAATGTGTAATCAAGTAAGACAACTTTTCATGGGTCCAGTTTGGACATAATATTGTGGAGTTTCATATTCAATTGTACGCCCCAGTGATCCTCCCACAAGGTGAGGTGTAGCTCTTGACAGCATTTTTAAGTCTTGTCTGTGGCACATCAGCGGCGCCTAGAGCTAAGTCTATTAAGAGCCATCTGTGAAGATTTTCTCTGCACCATGGTATTGTTTAATGGGTTTTGTTTTGCATGCGGCTTTGAATGCCTTTGTTTTTGTGCATGGTTTGTTGTGTGTGGTGAGGTCTAAGATTATTTTCTTTGTAAACAAACGAGATTATATATTTTCTTTCCGATACTGTGGGCAACCGTCACCACACGCTTCAGCTGTCTTACACTAAGAGACAAGTGACTACGCACAATTACACTACTCAACAGTCTTACTTTGTTAGTCTTGCCTCGGGCCTATCATGTTACCCAGATGAATCTTAATAATTTACAACCCAAGATTTGTATATATATCTTTGACTGGCCCCATCAATAGGCACGATGTTTGGACGTGAGAAGGGATGCCCCTGTGCTCAGAGTACCTTGCGTAGCTCTGCGGTACTTCGTTTTTCAGAAACAAAGAAAGTGTCAGCAAATCATTGACCCTCCTCTCCCTCCCCAAAGCCCATCTCACTCAGTCCCTGTGCAGCTACTGTTTCCCCAAGGGGACTAGCTGCACGGCGAACTATGGCCGCCGAAGGAAGGAATAACATGGATATTTGGGCCGCCTCAAGAGCGAATGATGAGGAGTGAGTGAATGCCAGATGGCAACATTACTTCGGCCTGACTTTGTTCAGTAAAGTGACTGAGCAATGTTGACTATATTTTCTCTCTACAGCAGAGGTTTGAATTTTCCGACATTGTTCGATCTGAAGTACATAGTTCTTGTTGGGAGGTTCTCGTGGTCTAGAGCTTAAGGTGTGCGCCTCTCATTCAATAGGCCAATGGTTCGAATCCGGATAGCGACTGGATACTCTCTTCTCTAAAATTGTCTCCTTTTACATCCTTCCCTGCCCTCTAACAATGTTCTGTCATCTGCTTTCGTCTCTACTTTCTGCCTTCACCCCTTCACCTCTTTGTCCCCTCCTCTGGGCTTCTGACTCTTTCTACGGCTTTCTACAGCTTCTCCTTGGCATCTTCTTACTACTGTTTTTCAGCCAAACCCCTAATCATGTAGTACGTAACATCTAAGCTTACACCTACCATTCTCGCAAGGTGCGCACGTTAAAGATTCCTCAGTAGTCCAAAATCGATAAGAGTAGGCTTCAGCCGCCACCTCGGCAAAATTCCAAATTTCCTACCAACTGAAAATGTTGAATGTGTCTCGCGCACTCGTGTGCAGTTATGAGCGCCGTAAAACAATAATAAAAAAAGAGTTCTTGTTGATCCAAGTCCAAGTTCCACTGTATTTACATACATAGTTTTGTAATAATATTGTTTAAGCTAGGCTACCATGTGCTAATGGGCGGTGCACCGGCATGCCGCTCGCATGCTGATTGTCACCTCGTTTTTTCTCAGTCAAGGAAAGTTTCCAAGCATCGATGCATATTGGTCCTAATACTGCTTACATGGAAAAATGGATGAGCTTTACAGCAATATACATTTAACTCGAATATTTTAATAAAATCCGTTCCTAAAAGCCTTTCAAATTTTTTGATTGCGAATTGTATGTTTTATGAGTTAAATTAGCCCTCTATGAATTAAAAGAAACACCAATTTAAGTACTTATAAATATTACATTGTAATCGATGTCGTTCGAGCGGAGCACCGGCGTTTTGAGAACGCATAGGTGTGGAGATCTCACGATTTTGCGTCTGAAAAACGCAGAAAAGCCGATTCGGTGCCAAACTTTGACCCCTGTACTTCAGACTTATTTTGTTTTATGATTTTACGTATTTGATGTTTTAACATTAAAGATTAAGATTCAGGACAAAATTCTGTAGGCATATGAAAATGTAAAGTTTACGGGTACTCGAAGCGAGATAGAAACAAGTTAAATTCTTCTCGTTTTTGTCGCGAGCCCGCGCCGAGCACTATTGTCGCCCAATCTTGCCTACCTAACTGTAAACTAACAGATCTAAATTGCAATGGAAAGATAACAGATTTAGGATTAGATCATTATTATTTTGACAGACTTTGACTAAACTAACTTTAGGTTTATTAGGAATCTGTTTTACTTTACTTTCGATCTCACTCGTTTCACTGAAAATATTCACTATAAGACAGTTTGAATCGGCAATAAATGTTGATTTGTTTGAGAGTATTTTTCTACATTATTACTGCTGACAAAACAAAACCACACACAGGACAGACGCGTTGATATATTTCATCATTATAATAGCGTTTGTTTTCACTCAATAACCGATTTTTTTTTAAAGCGAGTCTTGTAAAGTTACCTTGTATCCGCATCGTGTTTGTTTGTTTTGTTTTTTTGTTTGTTTTTGTTTCTTTTTGTCCTGTGTCCTGATTTTGGTGCCGATATTTGTAAGCTACGTAAAAATGTATTGGCATGGTGTAAATTGGTATGCTTTAAAAAAAATTTTTTAAAACACAAGAAAAAAAGGAATTGATCATCATCATCATCATCATCATCTAATATTAGAAACAATGTGCCTGTTAATCTTAGTGTTAAGTTATTTCACTTTTTGTTTGGCGCTTACTCCTGATCCCGGCCAGGCTGTCCTGGGGGGGTATCAATATACTCACCAATGAACTCGTGTGACCCATCATTTAAACATATTTTTCAAGAAAAGTGGCAGAATATAATAAGCTTGGCTACCATATGCTTATGGGCGGGGATTCGGCATGACGCTCGCCTGCCAGTTCTCGTCTCGCTTTTGCTCAGCCTTGGAAAGTTACCAAACTTCGATGCTCTCATCGATGCATATCGGTCCTTATAACGTTTATACAGTCTTATAGAAAAATGGATGAGCTTTCCAGCCATATATTTTTACTTCCAATAATTTAATAAAAATCCGTTCGAAAAACACTTTGAGTTAAAATCAAATCTCTAAAAATACCTCTAAAAATTAGCATCAATTTAAGTACTTTTAAATGGACTTAAATGAACTGCATTTTGGAGATTTAAGTACTTTTAAATGGACTTAAAAAAGCTACATTTGGAGATCTCACGATTTTGCGTCCGAAAAACGCTGAAAAGCCGATTTGGTGCCCAACTTTAACCCCAGTAATTCATATTATTTTTTTATTTGTTCGCCTTTCCAATATTTTCACATTAAAGATTACCAAAAAAAAAGTTTGTAGACCTTTGAAATTTTAAAAGTATACTGGAACAGGAAGCAAGATACAAGCGAGTCAATTCTCATAAATTTTGCCGCGATCACCCGCTGAGCGACATTTTCGCTCAGCATTGCATACCTACTATGAGTTGGGTTTGTATCTTGGTATTAAGTAGGATAGTCCAGTTTACCTGTACATTAGTTATGGCACTTTATATGTACCCCCTTTCCTTTACATTTAAAGAATATGAATTTTGTTTTCTCAACAATGCATGCCAAATTCTGAATTCTGACAACAAGCTGTTTGTTAGAATAACTATATGTGTGTTTTGAGTAATTGTTCATTTTCCTCTCCACAGATTTGGTGAGGACACAGACAACAGCAGCACCGTCGCAAAAACCAAAGGTGGGAGAATGTTTTTAAGTTACCAGATGAATGCCGGATAAGAATGCCCATCGCTTATAGGTACTTCCTCGTCCTCATAATAAAGTTGAACTTCAATCCTTAAAGATGGATAAAAGCATTATGTATTGGCTGACTTAAATAATCTCAAGAAGATAATTTTTACTGTGAGATGTGTGGCTACGCAGATTGTTCGATCCCCATTCGACGCTGATGTATAATGCTACCACGCACGGTTGTTTTACGTTAAAGATTGGTTTGCAAGAGGTCAAACACAACTTATCATAACTTTCATATTAATTTAGCATGATAAATCATTATCAGACAAGAACCAGGAAATAATTCTAGCAGAGACTGCTGCTTTTGATTATTTTTGCTATCACTCTACACATGAAATCAAACAGCTGCTAAAAGGCTATCCATTTATCTTATTATACTTTTCCGATCCAGCGGCCGGCTGGTCGATATGACAAAAAATTTACAGGTTTTTATCAGCTGTCTTTTGTCGCTGTATAGAGTATTTCCGATATCTGAGGAGGCAGTAGGGAGGTACTACATGCACACAGGTCGCTAAAAGCATGGCAGGTAAGAAAGTGCTGTGATACTCTTTCATTCTGTCAGCCACTCGGCAGGCAGGTGGGGTATCCTTACTGATCCTGTTTAAGTAGGAATTCAGTGGGATGTGTTGTGTTCGCAGGCGGAAGATAGTGACTTGTTTTCTGCTCAGGGAATTCATTGCAACTTTTGCGTTGGAAAGCAGTCATGTGTGCAAATACAGCTCTTCCAGTTTTTCCCATTGCCAAACCATTTAACCACTGTTTTCTGCAGTTGTATTTGATGTTTTTAAATGTCTTTTGTTCTACTAGGTTTTCAGGTTGTGTTTGCGATGTTCCCCTCGAGGAAAGGGTGTCAGCTCTGTCCTTCTCGGGCATGTTGCTGCGGCCAGGTTTCCACTGTAAAGCCAGATCGACGGCATAGGTCTGCATGAAAGTGTTAATTGTTAGAGCCATAGATAGGCAGGCTGGGTTTTTGAAATTCATGTTTTCTAAAGCTTGGAGTACTGCTTTTCCGTCTGTAAAAAATACAGTGTCCCTGATTTTGAGTGGATAAATAATTAAAATACTGGTCAGGTTGAGGATGCTGTTTCAATGGCGAGACCTCTGCCTCTTAATTTGTACTAGGAGTACCAAAGGCATCAATAATTCTTCCCGCGCCTTTTCGGGATGTTATATTCTTACTCCAAAACCTGCATTGATAGGTCCCTTGAAAGCTGACTCATCTCAGCGTAAATATGGATTGAATTACTATGGTAGGAGTCAATTGTTTCGAGAGCCGTGGTCTTCTGTTCTACTGGGTCACATTCCTTTTTCACTGTCTCATTTATGGAGGAAGTTTTGATGTTGGCATTCTTGATGTTGGTGTTTGGGGGGAGTTCTGGTTCTCATTAAGAGTTTCAGCATTTCTCTGTTGCATGGATGGAGTTAGTGTTTTTCTTTTGGTCTGGTGACAGTGTCGAGTGTTGATCTTCCATTGATTCGTTTCTTTGGTCGCCTCTTTTCAATGATCTGTCTCTTTGAGTGGTTTGGATCTAATCTCTTGTAGCTCTTAAGCCCCGGTTACACGTAACGATTAGCTCATTCATTCATTCATTCATTAATAATAATAATAATAATAATAATAATAATAATAATAATAATAATAATAATAATAATAGATAGTATTTGTATAGAGTAAATCCCCGCTCAACAGCAGGCTCTAGGCGCTTCACAATTTATACCGTGACATCAGCAGACCTGAGAGTATTCTGAAACAACCTCAACTTCCTGGCAAGCATACAGTGCAATCGCCCATTTATAGGCGCTAAAACACTAACATACTGACAAAACCTTTCGCACTATATGGCCGGGTACCCATTCCCTCCTGGGTGAAGTGAAGAAAATTCGTGTAAAGTGCTTTTCCCAAGGACACAACGTAGGGCCCGCGGCTCGAACCCCCGACCCCGCAACTTCACGATCACGAGTCAAAGTTTGGATGATTGGACGATGGCTTGGAGACTCGGTCGGAGAAATCAAGCGCTGCTTGATATTTTTCGTGCAATCACGGTGAGATTTGGGGGAGACGTGCTGTGTAGGCCAGGGCAAGATCGACGGCAAAAAGACTCGAGGCCTCGATCCCAAAACTGAAAAAGGATCGAGGAATCGAGTCCGATTTTCGAGTTTGGAAGCTACTTCAAGTGGGCTGTTTAGAGGCCATGACTTGAACACTGCTAAAAATAGCTCTTAAGATCGGGACCTCGAGTCTTGAACACTGCTAAAAATAGCTCTTAAGATCGAGACCTCGAGTCTTGAACACTGCTAAAAATAGCTCTTAAGATCGAGACCTCGATTCTCGAGTTTGACAGAAGTGGCTGGCTAAGCCTGCGCGCGTGCCAAGACAAGTTGGTTTTCACGTATTTGTGTGTGTGTGTGTGTGTGTGTGTGTGTGTGTGTGTGTCAGTGTGTGTTTGTGTGTGTGTGTCAGTGTGTGTTTGCGTGTGTGTGTCGTGTGTGTTTGCGCGCGCGCGTGTGTGTGTGTGTGTGTGTGTGTGTGTGTGTGTGTGTGTTTGGGTGTGTGTGTGTGTGTGTGTCTGTGTCTGTGTCTGTGTCGTGTGTGTGTGTTGCCTCCGTTCTATCACTCTTGCCAATGCGTGGGGCACAGGTTCCTTCTCTCTTGCACCCTTTGCTTCCTGATACGTCAAAGCATGCTTTGATGACAAATGTTTTGTTATTGCCGACGTTGTGTTATTGTATGCCAAAACATTATTACAAATCATACAAACAACAGTACTGTGTTTTCCAGCTTATAAAAAAAATCCGAAGCTAAAGATCGACGTCCAGACATGATGACTCATTGATGTTAACTCAAAACACAATAAGATTTACAAAAGAATACGTGTACAGTAAAGATGAAAGTGCAGTGAAATTCAAAAGCAAGCGTTCAATGTTCAAAACAAAAGAAAGAGAAAAGGGAAGTGAATGATTTAATTTGGGATGGGCGGGGGTGGGGTAACAACATTCAAAGTAGCAGTAGCCTATGTGCAGCGTGGTTTCGTACTGGGCTACACGGTAGACACAACAAGTAGGCCTAGACCTAGTTTAGCATTCACTCATAGCGGGGAAGAGGAAGAGGAAGGTGGGGTTGGGTGGGGGTTGCGTGAAACAATTGATATAGTGACTGACTGGCAGTTTCTTGCCCCTACTTCACTAGGCCTACAAAAGTTCGTCCCGGGACAACCCCGTCTGACGTTTGAAACCTTTGAACTTGAGTGTAATGTACCGCACCACCGCACCTATTATTGGGACGTGACATTTTTGTTGCATTGAGTCCCGAGCAGTTGTGAATTGCTACAACATCGGTGGAACAGTATGACCTAATACTGTTTTCTCTTTCTCTTTTTTCTAATACGAAGCAACAGAGCACAGGCACGTGCAACCTCGATTCATCCACCTTGAAGACACAGTCTTGAATCTACATGTATCAAGGCCTAGTGCACGCCAAATTCAAATAGTGAAAAAAAACACATAAGTAAACAAAACTCACAAAAATTAATTTAACTTGGTAATCGAGCATTAATTTGGGTTCCACGCGTAATTTTTGCTAATTTTTGGTCGCTGATCACGAAAATCTTATTATTTCTTAAATTTGACCAATATTTAAGAAATTTTTGGAATGCATTTTTAACTCCGCCTAGGCCAACATCAAAGAAGCCGCCTTATGCGCCGGATCAGTCCTGTCCTGGTGCGCTGTCTGTTTTGAAGCGAAAAACTCGACTGTGGGGTGGGACAGCCCTAGGCCTATCCCATGACAGGACTGTAATAGTGAGGTAGAGATTTAGATTCTTGCCTCGATTCTCGGAGTCTAGGCTAGGAACCAGGCTAAAAAAAAAAGAGACGAGAGGCATCGACCCTGGGCGGACTCGAAGCTTAGAATCTGGGAACAAGATCGATTCTGTGAGTCCTCATTTGGACTCGAAAGAATCGATCCCAGAGTAGATCTTGCCCTGGCCTAGTGCTGTGTCGTAGAGTCACTTAAAAATTTGACACCGTGCAGGATTAAACTTCGGAGGCAAAATTGTAACCATATTTATCGACGCTTACAACTGATTGCATAATCGGTATCGGTGTCTCCCCAAAAAATAAATAAATAAGCAAGATGGCTCGCGAAAAACCTGATTTGATGCGATACGATGTGGATTTTAGCAATTTAAAAAATTGATCAACAGTGGTGAAGTATATCACGGTCACCCGATGCGTTGCACATCTGCGTCAAGTCAAAGCTGCAATATTGCGACCCTTTTGTAATGATAGTGTTCTACTATCTTTCGAAATGGACGAGGGGTTGGGGGGTTTCTGTGGTCAAAAGGTACAGCGTTTGCTTCTCCTTAGCTCGAAACCTGATAGCCAAGGAAGTTTTTTCGTCTCTAAAAGTAAAGTACGTTCTCCTTTCATATCCTTTCTTGCTCTCTAATAATGTTCTGTCATCTGTTTTCATATCCCATTTCTGCCCCCCTTCCTCACACAAACTTTTTCTCCTTCCTCTGAGCTCCTGACACTTTCTACTTCAACTTCTGGCTCCTTGCTGAGCTGTCTTTGAGACGCATCCCGGATCTTAGGGAGGTAAGATCGAACACGTTGTCGGATAAGGGTGGCTTTTGCCATGGTGGCAACCAAAGCCTACTCTTAACGATTTTATTACCATCAAGGGATCTTTAACGTGCGCAGCTTGCACTTGGGACCTCCAAGAATGTTTTACCTTATCCGAGAAGACTATGTGTTAGATCAAACCAACCCTAAAATCAGAGGTGTGACTGAAAGTAAATGCAGCAATAGGAAGGAGCCAGAAGAAGCGGTGCATCCTGCAGAACGAGTCAGGAGTAAAGCAATGGGGAGCCCGAAGACCGAAGGCGGGTGGGGATACGGGATGGGGTTGGAAAGAAAGTTGGGATGAAGAAAGCAGAAATATAT